CCCCAAAACCCCAAAACCCCAAAACCCCAAATATGGAAAATAAGGTTGAAATTAGATAAAATAAAGGATTTAGAGGATTTTGAAGGAAATTAAAGTAGAAAAGAAATTTCAAAGGATTAATTCAGGTATCTAAAAGGAGGTGTAGAAGGTTGGCTTAGAGTAAGCAAAGATTTAGATATGAATTTGAACTGTAGTAAAGCCAAATTTGTTCAGCACATGTTGAGCGACATCTTTGGTTATTCCTCAGTCCTGCATTCCAACTTCTTCTAAGTTATTTCTAAAGTCATCTGATCGAGAAAGTCCATTGAAAAGATTATCAAAACGAGAGGGTTTATCTTTCCAGTTGCCTCTATCAAAGGCTCCTCATTTCCATAGGCTTAAGACCTTCAAAGTACTTCCTTTTAGAACCTCTCTCATATCAGTAACTGAAGAAAGACCTAGTTTACACCATTCGAATCCTACTCAAATCTTCCCTTTGTATTTTGACAGAAGTGTCACTAGGCTCTTTTGGCTGATTTCAAAATTATAGATACTCAACTGTCTTTCCACCGAAGGAGCTATCTTGACCAATACATCAATGAAAATGTCAATCGAAGCTATTTTATTGCTTGAATTGTATAGACGAAACTTCCCGACCTTATTTGGGAAAGAGTATTGCATAAAAGACTTGACAACCCCTTTGTTGGTAGAAGGAGCAAACTTAATTTCAAACTCTTGCAAATCTGGAATCTTCTTCTCAGCTATTTTCACAAGTTTGGAGTGCTTGTTATTCTTCAAATCAAATCAAAGCTTAGCTCCCTCAGAGCCAAAATCTACAATCTTTTCTTTTCCCCCAAACCATGATGAGGTTTCTTCATTGACATCAGAGCAGAGAGAAGCAAACTCTTCTTTGGAGTAGTCATTACGGCGTAGTTCAAGTTCTTGTTTGAGAGCCTGACTCTTCATTCTCTCTTTTTCAAGCTTTCTAGTAAGTTTCTGATTCTTCTTCTCCAGCTCAAATACCTTCTGGTTCTTTGCATTACTTTCCTCTTCAAGAGCAACAAGATTTTGTTTCAGCTGCTGAATCTTTTCTTGATAAGTCTTTTCTTGTTCCTCCTGCTCATTACAAAGGCAGTTATAGGCTTCTTTAAGTTCTTTGATCCTCCTCTTCTTTTCAGTGAGCTTGGAGTTAAGAGTAGCTATTTCTTGATCCTTCTGCGTTTGAATACGATGTCTCTGGTCGTGTAGCTTCGAGATTGTTGCTTTAAAATATATCCTGGTACTTCTCTTTAAGCTCCTTTGAGACAAGCACCACATTCCTACCAATGTGCTCTTCTATAGTAGAGAATGCTTCCTTCCAGTTCTTGACAGCAGAGTATCTGAGGAACAGTTGGTCATTCTTGACTAGATCTTCGAGCTGCTTAGCTTCACGGAACAAGGAATCAAACTTATAGAACTCTTTTCTTGTTATGGAGGTCTTGATCCCTGAAATGATCCTATTCATTCCTTCTTTGATAGTGGAGTCAAGTGCATCATATTCTTCTTGTGGGGCAAGATATCCATGGCTTTGTGGTGATATTAATAACTCCTTCCTACACTGCTCAATAACTTTCAGCAACATTTCCGTAGAATCAGGGGTGATCAAAGGAATAGAATTCACTTCAGAATTCAGAGATGGGATCACAGAGTACTCTGTGTCCTTATGAAGAGAGCACACGTAGATCTTTTGAGCATGAAGATAATGCTGAGACTTGCTCTTTCAAGAGATACTCCCTCATTTGGGAAATTTTATCTGCTTTCTTTTCATATTTAAAAGATTGTGTAAATATATAAATTCTCAAGGACAGATATAGCATTGGGGTTTTGGGGTTTTGGGGTTTTGGGG